TTGGAGAAGTTGTTGTAAGGGAGGGAGAGGCTTCTGAGAGAGGTTAGGAAGCCCAGCTCCGAGGGGATGTAGCCGGAGAGCCTCTTGTTTGGGAGTGAGAGATGCGTCACGTGCCCCTGCCCCTCGTTGCAGGACACTCCCTCCCACTCGCATGGGCTGGCGTCGCTTTCCGACCACGAGCTCAGCACGCCGCTGGGGTCGGATCCCACGGCGGCTTTCAGGGCCAGCAGGGAGAGGCCGTCGGAGCTCAGAGAGGTGGCCCCTGGAGGAGCCAGGAAGAAGAGAAGCATCACAAGAAGCATTGGCATTAGAATGGTTTAGTTTTTGAATTTGGTTTACTTCTCGAGGTCATGTGCTGCGTTTGAAACTTTGAATTTTTCTGACCTTCCCTCTGCACTGCTTCTATTATCGCTGGAGAATACATACATAAATAAATAATAATAATGCTACTACTCTACTTCTTAATCACTTCACTTTAATCAATTTCAAATACACTTAATTATTTTAGGAGAGATTTCTTTTGTGGTGTCAGAAAAATGGAGCAGCAGTTATGAGATTGTAGTTTAGCGTATTTTTATGTGTGTCAGAAAATCATTTAACAAGGACACGACACGACGCCTGGGACTCTCTTTTCACTTTTCCAGTTGCCACCAAAATGGGCTCATGCTGCTACCTTCTTACTTCTTACTTCTTAGTGCTTTAGATCCAACAATTCCATTACGGGATTCAAAATTACTCCTTTTGAACTTAAATTACGTCCCTCCAAATTAATTTAATTTAATTTAATTTACCTAAAATCAAAATCTGTCCCTTCTGCCTCATACAACTGAGCACGTGTTTAAACTTTTAATACATATTATTATTTTTAAAACATCTCCTGAGAATTTGATATAATAAGTGACTTTTAAAATAAATAAATGAAACAAGTCCATTATTTAATTAATAATACTACACTTATAGAAATGTTAGAACATATTACCTGACACTTTTTTTTTAATATATTTTGTTGTTTTAAAATTTATTAAAATGGACATACTTTTTAATAAATTTTAATCGATATCAAAAATACTATGTCAGATAGTTTGTTTTTTACCGCTGCTTTTACTCCCCAGTTCTTCAATTTCTGTTTGTTTTCAACGTGTCCATTGAATACGAGCCTTAATTGAATGGTTAGAATATATCTTAATCGAATTATAATAGATAGATAGATAAAAAAATATATATTATTCACTTATAATCCATTAAAACTGGGTTGAAAAATATCAAAATGGCTCGTTTAATTAAAATTGTCTAACTCATCTATTGATTTTTTTTTTATGAATGTGTCATGGACTAGACTAAGGCCCATATATCATGAAGCCCAGTGCTACAAGTTCTTGTTGAAACTCAATGTCAATAACACGATAAAAAACCTATGCATGAAATTCATACGTTTGGAATAGTTTTTAATTCTACTAAAATAAAATTAATTACATAATTACATTGATGTTCAAAGCAGCAAATAGTTACTTTATTCTTAGTTTTTCACCACGATTTTATTATATAGAATTGATTTTAAAAAATATCTAAACAAACTAGATGACTTAAATTTAATTTAAACATAAATAATATGTAATTATTTAATTACCCTTAACATTAAACAATTCTAGTTCAGTGCAAGCTTTCTCCCTCTTTGTAGATTTATTAACAGAGGACTCATAATTAACTTAGCTTCATTTTGTGAACTCATGCATAGTAACTCAATTTTTACTACTAAACCAAGTTCAGTAATTCTTGAAAATTATTGTTTGAGATCCATTGATTCCTATAAAAAAAAATCATTTTTAATTAATAAATCAATATTTTTTTTATTCACAATTTATTAATCAATACACTACATATACATATGTCAAAAATAATTTTAATTTTTTACTTATAATTACTTTTCTTAAATTGTGGTTTTAAAGTAATTAGAGATTCCTAGACTAATTTGTTCTAGAATGACATTTTTAACAGTTTTTTTTTTATAAAAAAGAATAATTTTTTCGACAAATTTTCTTAATATTTCATAACAATAGTAAATAAGAGTTTAAATATATTTAACATCTTAACGAACGATATACTAAAAAAAATCGATATTTATTCTACAAAATAAATTAGAGGATTAATAGGAAAAAATTGTAGGAAGATTTAAAATTATTGTTTAAAATATTCTATCTAACTAAACCGAACAGGGAATGTACAACTGTAGAAGCTTGACCACCTTGTCTGTGTGTTCTGTGTCCCAATCCAACATCTCAAAGACTGTGTCAACTGTTTGTAGAAGCTTCACCACCTTCGTCCAATCAATTATCAGTTTATTACTTTACTTATCTCTGCTTCTTTGTTAATGGGTTTGGATTTGATCTTTTGGCTTGTGATTTGTTTCCCTCTCAACGTTGCCTTTTTAGCCTCAGCGTTCTACCAGGTATTTGACTTTTCTTTTTCTTCCTATTTCAAGCTTTTTCCCCAGCCAAAGATCATTCTTTTATTCCAATGTGATTGGATAGTAAACTGTAAAAGGTGATTCACGTTCATGTTGATTTTGAGCTTCAATAAATCTATAAAAAAAAATCATTTTTTTTTACTTTTGGGTTGAAGGTTTTGATCTTGTCTGACTTGGAATCCGACTTTGTCAACCCGTATGATGCTTCATCTCGGATTAATTACTTCATCCTTCCTGAGTTTATTGGGCAAGGGCTATTTTGCGCTCTCTGCCTTTTCACAGGTCATTGGATCATGTTCTTGCTGACGGTTCCTGTTACATGCTATCATGTGATGCTGTAAGTACTAAATTTTATAGCAAAAAGTGAACAATGTGCTGCTCTAATTATGTTGAGTGCATTACATTACATTAATAGGTAAAGCACCTTGAATAGATTGGAGTAGTCCCCCAAGGATCTTAGTGCCACCTGAGATAAGGCTCATTGGTTGCTAGTGTCAGGATTTAGCTTTTAAAATAGTTAACTTGAGCCAAACATGTATTTGGGGTTTTTAGTTTTTTTTTTTCCTTACAGAAATTACAAACCTGGATCTACTTTGTTTTGGGTGGTAAAGGGAGTGGAGAACTAAGGAAAGGGTAACAGTTTGAGACTTGGAGTTTAGATGCATATGATTAAATTATAAGTAATTGATTCAAATACATTTTGTGCCACTTACGGAGTACTCTTCATTTGTTTATTCAATTATCTTTCATTGGTAAAGATTTAAAGAAAGCTATCTGCAACAATTTAACATCTGAGAATTTGGCTCAACTCGACTTCATTTTCCAATATTGCTATATAATTGATATTAAAGACATTGCAAAATTTTTAAAACATAGCAGCTATGCGTGCTGTTGATTATCGATTTTGTTTCAGAATTGTGATTGAGAGTGGGAGGATACATGGAATAATGGTTTTTGACTGCCCTGGCTAGAAGCTTTAACTAATTGTTTTATCCTCTGTTTATTGCCATCTGGGTATTATGATTGAAACTGCATTACCTCATATTATATTTTTCTCTTTTTGCCTTTTTAACCTTAGGATTATTGATGCAGACAAATTAGTTGGACTCCTATAAACTCTCTGTTTTCTATATCGAGGGTTATTGCTTAATTAATTGACATTACTATTTTGTGTTCTTGAGGTTTTAATTTGTTATATCCTGCTATTTGGTTGTGCCGTTGACAATTGAAATGAACTTGTGGTGCATCCAATATGCCAAAACTAGTTTCATGTTTGAAAATTTCTGACTTTTGTTGTGTATTTACAATTAATGTGAATATATTTTGGGGTTGAACCACTGTGCTCATACTTTGTTCTGTATTTCCATATAAGGCTTAGCTTATGAACTTTTATGTTCTCTTTTCAGTTCATTATTGTTCCATTTCAATGATTCAGGTACATGAAACGACAGCATCTCATTGATGTTACTGAAGTTTTTAGGGTACTTAATGCAGAGAAGAAATTTCGGATTGCCAAACTTGCTTATTACTTAACAATCATCATTATAACTGTCTTCAGGTTTGTTTGCGATGCCCTTAAAATAGCATATTCTGATCTACTGTGCTTCGGGTTCTACATTCTTACTGCTTAATTTTGTCTATTTATTTTTCTTATTAATGTGAACTGTGAAGCATTAGGACTGTGTTAGGCAAGTGCAACGGGCTGGTTTCTGTTAGCTGAGGGGGTTAGAGTTAGTTATTGTTAATGAGGGAAGATTTGAGGTATTCTGTAATTGACGAGTGTATAAGGTTTAGACAGTGAGAGAAGATTGGTGGTATTCTGTTTAGATGGAGATTGGTTTTTGTAGGGAA